CCACCCCCCACCACCACCACCACCATCAGCACCACCAGCACCACCACCAGCACCACCATTGTGCGGAAAATGGGACGCGGCACCACAGCGGGGCGACGCATTCAGCCGGCATCGTGTGTAAATAATAGGACGTGAGGACCCCCCCCAACAAAAAAGGACCCAAAAAAAAAAGGACCGAAATAAAACTCCACCCTATACAAAAAAACCCCGAGGGAGGGTTTCCAGAGTTTCCATGGTTACCGTGGATGGCAGTTTTGTCCCATGATCCAGGCATGCGCGTTCGCCCTCCTCTGCTTCGTACCATTCCTGCTTATGCTGCGCCAGCCTGTTTTCGGAGCGTGGCTTGCCTTGCAGGGTCGCCTGTCTACCATATCTCGCGGTGATGGCACATAGTTGTGCTGGCAGACGACTCCATCATCCGCCTCTTCCTTGGCTGACAGCGGCTAGGTATGTCTGGGGCCGGTGGCTATGGTAGGACAGTAGCACAAACACCTCCAAACAAGTTGCATGCAGCAACTCTAAGACCGAGGGCCCACGATTCGCGGCATGACTCAGCAAGACGTAGACATGGCTGCGCATTGAACATCGCCGGGGTGACACCTTGCAGCCTCGAGCGATGGATGGGGACACATCAGACATCGATGTGGACTTGGACGACGTGGACTTCACCAGTGCCAGTGCTCCGATTGACGAGCAGCTCGTGGTGGACTTGGCTGACGTGTCACTCGAGGCGTCAGACGCTCGCTCGCTGGGCACCAGCGAGGAGCTCGACTTGGGAGAGGCCGGCATCGCTGCCTTGGAGGCCCGGCTCCGGCTGTCGCCCGCTCTTGGCGCGGCGAGAGCCGCGACTGCCGCAGCCCCTGCTCCGCCTGCGCCTGCGGCTGCCCCGGCCAGCCCGGTTCGCCGGCTCGAGCCGGAGCTGGAAGGTTCCGTGCGAGCTCTGGCAGAGCAGCAGCGCTTGCAAGCACAGGAGCTGGCGGTGCTGCGCCGGCGCGCCCTGAGCGCCGGCCAGAGCGAAGCCCCCGACCAGGCACAGAGCAGCCAAGATTCTGCCCGCCTGGCCGACAAAGTGCTGCGGGCGGAGGCGGATGCTCGAGGGGCACGCCAGGATGCCTTGGCCTACTCTCGCCGTGCACAGGTTCTTGAGGAGAAGTGGGCTCTGGGTGAGCGAGAGATCGCAGACCTAAAGGCAAAGATAGCCGCCGATGCTGAGGATAGCAGACGTCGCGAGGCCCACCTGGAGGAGAAACTGACCCTGAAAGACACACGAATCTCGGAGATGACAATGAAGCTGGAGACAGCTGTGGAGGCACATTCTAAACGAGTGGCCTTCCTGGAGGAGATGCTGGCATCCCGAGATGCAAAGATCCAGGAGCTTTCGGAGAAGCTGGACAAGGACTTTCGCCTGGTACAGCAAGATGCCGAAGGGCACGCGCGGCGCGTCACGCTTCTGGAGGAGACCCTGGTCCTGAGGGACGAGAAGATTGCCGAGTTGCAGTCGAAAGTTGACGGTCTCCGCGAGAAGAAGCGCGAGTTGGTTCGGAAAGCGGAACTCGAACAAGTCAGCACAACGCAGGAAGTTCGAGACCAAGTGAATGCAGAGATTCGTCGCTTCCAGGAAAAGGCACAGGCAGACATCGAAGCCGTTCGCACAGGCCTGAATGCTCTGCATCAGAAAGAGGTCCACATGCTCCAGGAGCGCATCACCGCAGCGGAAGAGCGATCAAGTGGCCTGCAGTCCCGCTTGGACAACGAAGAGCAGGCACATCAGGCGCTGCAGCTGTCCGCCAGTCGTGTGCGAGCTGAGCTGCAGAACGAGATCACGGAACTTACAGGGTCGCTGAAGCTGAGGGTTTTTGAGATTGAGCGGGCCGCCTTGACCCACGAAGAGGTTAGCGCTGCGCGGCAGAAGCTTGATGCCGAGAACGAGGCTCTCAAGAAGCAGGTCGAAACTCTTCGAAAGGAGTTCTACAATCTGGAGCTTCAGTACAAAGAAGGCCGTGCAAGTGAAAGGGCCGAGCTCGCATCGCTGCGTGAGCAGATGAGGGGATACTTGGACTTGGAAAGAGACCTGGATGCGGCCATTGCTGGGTGTGCTGAGGCGCCTTTGGCATCTGCTGATGCACAGGAGGCACTTCTCATCGGCACGACTTTAGGGAGTGCCCCAGCGAGTGCGCAGCGGCGGATCCAGCAAAGCTTGCTTTTAGCCCAAGAGCTGCAGCGACGTTCCCGTGAGCTCCGCCAGCAGACCGCTGCATCTGAAGAGGCGCACAAAGAAATATCCCGGCTGAAGCTGGAGCTGGAAACAACCCAGCTCCAAGTTCGTGCCGCAGGTTTTTCAGAACCGCAGGTCTACTTGCAGAGCTCCCTGAGGGAGTGTCAAGCCGAGGTGTCCCGCGTAAAGTTAGAGCTGAAGTCATGCAAACAAGACTTGATGCAGGCCCAGCAGCGGGCTGAGCATGCACAGAGAGCTCGTCTCCAAGTGGAAGAAGACATGCGAAAGCTGCTGTCCTCACGGGACTTCTTGCAGCAGCTGAAGCAGGAAATGGACAGCTTAAAACCCATCGCGGCGCCTCTGAAGCAGTTACCAACTTCTCCAGTGAAGTGAGCGCTTGCACTGCACGTAATTCGACACGTTAGGCTCCCAGGGACCGATGGCACCCGCACAGGTGTACAGGGGATTGCATTTTACCCACCGAAGAGAGGCAGTGCCACACCTGCACTGATGGCCTAGGTCTGTTGGCTTGCATTTGTCCTATGGGCAGCTTTGCGGCCTTGCCTGAAAGCCTCGTGTGTGTGTGTGTGTTCACTCGGTGAATGCGCCGGACCTTCGTGCAAAAGATTACCGTGCTTCGTCACTAGAAAGTGAACGTGGGAGAGGAAGCAGGAGAGGGCTGGTGGTCCTCTGGGAGACACAGCTCTCGGTAAGACCATTGCTCCAAGTGCAACCTGGCAGGCACGAGCGCACCATTCGACCCTGGATTCGGCGAAAGTGCCCGAAAAAGCACGGAGCTTAACGGGTCAACTTTGCGGGAGGCTTGTGCGAGCAAGGCGTGATGTGGACGAGCAGTCCAGGGTCTCACGACAAAGGTTGGTTGGAGTGCTCGAGCCTGCCGAGCTGAAGCCAGACTGGAGTGATGTGGCCTGGGGCCAACAGGGCGATCCAATCGTGGAGTTGCTTACATTCTTGAAGCCTGCCGTGGCGTGGCACTAGCCGTCACTAGCCAGTGCGTGCTTAATTCGTTTGACTTGGCCACAGTGTGTCAGGCCGAGAAGGTCATGCTTGCAGTCAATCGGCCGAAGCCCGTACTTGCAGGCTCGAGCGCGACACTCGCAGTGGTACAGGTGTACACAAGGTCGTCAGATGAACCTGCTGAGTTTCTGAGAGTCCTCCAGGTGCTGGTCTCGCTGTTGCCGTGGCTCTGATTGTCGCCGTGGCTGTGACGGCCTCCCAGCCACACCCATCTTTGCCTGAGGTTTTCCCGCCCGAAGCTAAGCTTGTTCGGGTGCGGATAAGCCCATGCAGAGTCGGCTTCTCTCCTAAATTGGGTTTCGCTGGCGGAGCCCCGCCACTCAGTTTACTGTACCCTCTGTGCCTGGTGTCTCCAAGCGAGATCTTGTCTAAGGCCGGAGCACCACCGTGAAGCTGGCAGGCCCATGATGCAGAGCTTTGCGCCCTCCTCACTGGCAGAGGACCGCACGCTTCAAGTCGGGATAATTACTGACACGGGCTTTGTAAGGTTCCGTGCGCGGGGTTGAGGATATGTAGTAAACTATGTTGGACAGTCCCTACACGATTATCGTTTGCAGACCCCAGTAACCTTGTTTTTTTGGGGGGCAAGTCACATTCAGGTATTTTTCCGAGCCACCTGCTTTCAGGGAAATGGGTTTTGCCACCCATCATGTTTTGTTGGGATTTTCGCTTTGGGAGCCCGTCACTCCTAACTGGAGTGAACGGCCTAGTTTTTCCAACTCCCTGCCAGGGTTTTCGGTATCGGCAAGCACGAGCAGCTGTCATCTCCGGTTGGGGCTTTTGAAATTTTGGGTTGCGAGTGAGTCACGGGTTTTTGTGTTCCGAGCCTCCTACTTCTTTGGAAATACTGCGGAAAGTAATGATTGAGCCTATATAGGGCTTTGCAGATCTTCACACCCTGCATGGAAAAACCCGTGTACCGGAGCTGGGCTCGTAACCCCTGTATGTAATTATACTTAGACTTAGAAGTAATACATGTGTCCGTAAGTTACTTCCGACTCCGTGCTTTGCTGTTTCGGTGACTCGCTTCCGGTGCTTCCGGACTCCGGCGTGAATGTCTGCAAGCTTTTCAAAATCCGTCGCAGAGAATCCATCTCTGCTCCAAGCATCGCAGGAAGAAGCCCCACTCACCATCCGAATGTGCGAGCCCGGCCGTCCGGATCTCGATTAGGGCTGCTAGCTTTTTCTGTTGGAATCCTCCATCATAACGTCGGCGGCGAGTTTTCAGCAGCTGGCCGAGGCGGATTGGATTCGCCGGGTTTCCCAGCAAGTGTGGCTCTGTTAGCCTCGACTTTGGGGAAGGAAGTCTTGTGTGTCCTGCGGAATCTTTCGTGTCCTGGACAAGCTGTTTTCAAAAGAGGATGCCCCATCGCCCAGTGGTGTTTCTTGTGTCTCAAGATGTTCCAAGCTTTTCCGTGCAGGCAAGTGTGCCTCTGTTTTCTCATGATGATCAAATCTTGCATGCCGCCAGCTTGAGTATAAAGAAGCATTCTTTCGGGTTGAGTGTGCCTGTGGATGGGGCTTCGGAGCTGACCTCCTGTGAATAGCAAGAATAACAGCACGTAGCAGTAGTAGTAGTCATAATAACAACAGCGGAGAAATTAACTTTGGTAATGACACTAATACTCCGTAGACTTGATGAGGTGCGTGCTTCATTGGTGTGACCTGGAGAACACGCCGAGCAGCTGGGAGCCCTGAAAGAGCAACGCTGTTTCAACTTTTCCTTCAGAGCAGGCCCCTCGAGAACTGAGCTCAAACCTCTGGCCTCAAGCCGCCCATGAAAAGACAGCGCCCGCCGAGACAATCTGACATCCTGGCCGGCATCTCAAGCCGCGAGCTCTGTCGACTTGTCTTGTGGGGGGTGCCATGCCCCACTGGGCCCGCAGCTTGAGGCCGCAACTTGTAGGTGCTACTCACAGTCCCAGACCACGGCCTCGCTGGGGGCCCAAGAGTCAGTGTCGCCAGAAGCGCGGAGACAAAAGAGTCACCACTGTGAGGTGCACAAACATCAGCCTCTCACTCGTTGTGAGTGGGCCTCGTCCGGCGTCCTTAACGCAGGCCTGACGCATCCTCACTGCTCCATGCTCCACCACGCAGCTCTCAAGAGTGAAGGGCAGCCTGCGAGCCCTATGCCTGCAGGATGTGTTGCACACGCAGGCGCTGAGCTTCGCAAGGGCCGCAGAGTCGATGTGGAGCCATTCAGTGCGGGCATCTTGTCTTCTGACCCATTCTGACGTCAGGTTTCGGCGGAGTATGCAGATGCCAACTCCGTAGAGGCGGCATCCTTAAGTCGCCTTCACCTGCTCGGAACCAGCTGATAGTAGAGAGCTGCCCTCTCAAGATCACCTCGGCTACCAGCCGCCGGTTGCAGTCCGTGGTTTTGGAGGACTGGCCGTGGCGGTCTTGGCAGTGGAGTCTTCTTGCAGGGCCTCTGGTCTCGTAGGAGTTGGCTTGAACAGAGAGCACAGGAGCTTCTCCCACCAATACGCCTAAGGTCCGGGACGACGCAGGTGGATCCCCTGACGCAGCTTCCTCCAATAAACCTGGGTTTTGCCACGGCCAGGACTGGTGCTTGGCCTTCAATCCTGCGTGTGCGCGTTGTTCTTGCTTGCACGCACTCGTGCATCACTGTTTGGCCTGCACGCAAGCACACACACAGAGACACGCATGCATGCATACATACATACATACATACATACATAGATACGTACTTACGTACGTACGTACGTACATACACACACACACATATATATATATACATACATACATACCTACATACCTACATACCTGAATACCTACATACCTACATACCTACATACCTACATATCTACATACCTACATACCTACACATACACATACATACATACATACCTACCTACGTACGTACGTGCGTACACATACATGCATACAGGGTCACTTTGGGCCGACCGCCAATCAATACTTCCTCACATCAACACTTGCATGTGCTTGAGTTACAAACAGTCCAGACACTTCCAGGAGGTCAAGCAGCTCCTGTGAAGACGCGATCTATTGCTACTGCAGTCCAAAATCCTGTACGACACCGTCAGGAGACGAAGGGCTCGAAGTGATGCTGAAGGATGTGTCTTTTCCATTCCACTGCAACACTGCTAGGATACAGAAGAACTGTCAATGACCTAACGTTGCCGGCGCCGCCTGTGACTCAGCACGTTGCGGGATGGCGTTTTGGGTTTTATAAGTTATTTGGATTCGTTTCTCTCGGTGACTGCCGGCAAGACTTTTCGGAGAAGCCCTTCCCCTGACTGAACTGTGTTGTCGGGCAAACAGCAGCCCAATCGTACGCCTCGCTTGCTTCGAGTATTGAATGAGCTCTTGAACAATGACAAATCAAAGGCCCCTTGTAGACCTTTGATAGAAGCCGCTAAATCCGTTAATACAAGCAAAGCATAATGTAGTGTACCAGAGTATAGTATGGTTAGCATAGTATAGTAGAGTATGTATAGTAGGGTAGAGTAGCATAAAGTCTAGTATGGTATGTAGGGTAGTACAGTATAGTTTAGCATCACAGCATAACAAACATAATGTAACATGCTTTACCATACCATGCTCTGCTATGCGAGACTGTGCTACACCTACATCACCAAGTCCGTAGTCTAGTATAGTATCACACTATAACTATTGTTCTATGTGATGCGTTATTCTCTTACAGTGTGTAATATGACACAGCATCAATATAAACAAGTTAGAATGAAATGATATGATATTTCATAGTAGGACATAGCCTAACATAACCGGTGATACTCGAATATAATCAAATGCGGTAAATTGTCATTTCTAGCATATTCCCATATAGCCCATAATAGATTGATATAGTTTTATATACTTCAGTACCGTCGATTATAATTCAGTGCCATGTAGTATAGCATGATTTATATAGTTTAGTATAACCCTGGTTTAGCTTTAGATAACATCGCAGAACAGGACAGACTAGAACCGATTGCGATCTATTGAACAACAATACAACACGGTACAACAAGATGTGTATGTATATGTACATGTATATTATATGCATATGTATGTGTACATATATGTATGTACATGCGTATACTCAAAGGTGCCCTTGTGCCCCCAGGCACCCGCCAGGGTCGTGCATGAGCACATGTGCTTGCCATGCTGCCAGCGAGCCTTCGGCAGGAAGTCTCTTGGTCAGGACATGCAGCAGGCAAACATGGATACAGGAGCAAAGGAGCAAAGCTTCGATTCTTAGTCCCTAAACTCTAAATCCTAAACCGAAAAAAGCCTCGCCTGGCATGTCCGAGTTTCTCGAGCTTGTTCCGAGCTGTGTTGAAAGCTGGGGGGGCTCCCATGCAAACTACGTCCTGGCCTTCATCTTGGCCTCCGTGGATGCGGGGTGGGCTTCCATGTGGAGCCTCACCGCGAAAGTTTGCCAGGGGCCTTCATTTCCTTTGAAAGGTTTGCTGGATTCCATGGGCCTCTTACTGCAGTCCAGGGGTGTTGTCCATGCGCTTCAGTGGCTTTTCATTCTTCTGATCTTGGCTCATGTCGAGCTGGCTACAGGAGAGCCTTTAACTATTGTGGAGAAGCCGAGCTCCTCTTCGCATGAAGCCGAAGCCTATTTAGTGGGACTTCACCGCGGCAGGACCTTGCTGCTCTAGCCGGTGACGTTGCCAAGTGGAATTTCGCTACATCTCAATTTTGTGTGACTGCTTTGATCAGGATGGGTGTTCGGGCCTCCGGGGCTCCTCTGCTTCAGGACTCGTCCGCTGGCGATGGGCCTTTCGTCAGGTTCCCAGCGAGTCATGTTCATTCATGGGGCGACTTCATTCTGAAGCGTCGTTGCGGCTATCTCGCTCAGCGCGTGGGAGAGGCCAGCCACCCATGTCCCGGGGGGAAGGCAGCTCAACAGCGTAAGCAGATGGAAGCACCATTGCAGGCAGGTTTGGGCGAGGGCGCGGTCATTCGCCTACTCGTCATGCTCTTCTCTTTGTTGATAGGTAATCAAGGTGGCATTGCAGGTTTGCAGCATCTTCTCCGCAGCAACGGCTTGCTTGCCCCGGAGTCTGATGTCAATACTGCCTCGCAGGCTACCGCTAAACCAAAGCGCATGCCGCGAAAGCCTAAGAGTGGGAATGCACCGCCACTTATGGCGCACGTCACTGCCAATCCTTCCAGGGCTCGAACCGTTACGGTGTCTGAGGGTGCGAGCGGCCAACCCGAGGCCAAGCGGCGCCGAAGCCGGAGCCGAAGACTACGGCTAAGCCGCAGCCCGCGCCTCCCGCCTCCGCGGGCGGTCCATCTGGAGGGGTCCAGCCGCCAGCCCAAGCCGGTGTTGCGCAAAGATGATTGGTCGGGCGATCTGGCTCCCTACGGCGAACTGGCGAATTCTCTGATACTGGCCCTCTGCTGGTCCATGTGTCGGGTCCGGAGCAGGCGGAGGCAGCCGATCTTCTTGCCGCGCAGGTTGCTCCAAAGTGCTCTCGAAGCATCATTTGGGAGGATCGAGAAGGAACCGTTCAAGTTCCCTTCCACGTGCAGGGGCAGATGCTGCCTCGACGGGTGTGTATTGGGTTCCATCGCATGGGAAAAAGGCTACGTGGGCGGCCCCTGTCGGCTTTTGCTCTTCCCGGATCCGCCGTCTCAATGCTGCTGCTGATGCACGATGCACTGCTTTGCTGGACCCAGGCGTGGAAAGTTTCCGTCAGTCTGTTTCTACTGAGCAGGAGGCTTACGTCTGGAGCCGTGCGGCTTTGGAGGCACAGCAGCGCTCTTGCTCGCGATACCCTGAGATGCTTGTGCAGCACTAGTCTTCCGGGGCTCGTCAGTGCGCATAGGTTGTGTTTTTTTTAGCTGGGTTGCCGGCTTCTTCTTTCGACAGCTTTCGGACGCATGTTGCTTCTGGCGGTGTTCGTGGTCTGCATTCTCTGCGCGGGTTGGAATGGAGCTGCTTGGCTTGTGTGCGAGCTTGCTCCTGGCTGTCTTCTGGACCTCGAGACCGTCGTTTGCACCTTTTTCTGCTGTTTTCGTGCATTCGACGCTTCTGTCTGAACCTTGGTGGATGCCCTCGTCGAGGGTCTTTGGGTGGCGTCTTCACCACGGACCTTTACGGGACGAGCAGGTTGGCGTCTTACATTTGACAATTTGACAAAGCTGGGGGGAGGTTGGTGCCGTCTGATGCGGCTGCCCCGAAGCAAAAGCGTCATCCTTTGGCACTTCCTGAGACTGTCAGAGGTGCTTGGACACTGTAGCTCCCTTCTTGGACCCCATGTCTCGGAGACCCTCTTGCCCGCACTTGAAGCCCTTTCTGGCTGTGCTGAAGACATCGTCTGGTGGGTAAAGACTGCACGTCAGACACTGATTGTGTATGTGTGCGCTTCTGCATCGCTGTCGCAGCCGGTTGATCTGACTGGACTTTGTTCTGGTTTGAGTCTCTCGGATTTCCATGCACGGAGTCTGGGTTCTGCTCCCGGTCTGATGCCCTCTTTTGTTTCACCTGTCTTGAATTCGATTGCTGGGCGTGCATCTGATCCAGACTCTTTCGCTCGCAAATGGCAGGATGTAGGTTCAAAATGATTCAAACATATGTATATATATATACATACACATATAATTATACAAATATAATTATACATATACACACACATATATATATATATATATATTCTTGTATATATATATGTTCACATACAGGCATACAGGCATACTTATTTATGTACAAATGTACTCGCCACGTCTGTGGCCCCCCCGCGCGCCGTACCGGGAACAGGCCGACCTTAACAGTGAGAGTCTCCACAGGCCCGGCATCCCACGGAGCCTGGTACGGGAAACCAACACCAGACTGGATTTCGTAACCAGAACCGCCTGGTTCCCGCTACAGCCTGGGGACAGCCCCTGGTAACAGGAACTGAGGCTTCCGGGCTTTCCTTCTGATCCTGAACCTTTGACTTTCCGGTCCCGGAGCTAGAACAAAACTCCGACCGACAATTCCAGCGTGTCTACCTCCAGTCGCAACATCTTCAACCGACACCAAGACCCCGGAATCCCGAAAAGCCCACGTGCTGAAACCTTGAAACCCGGCTTCCCGCACCCCTCCCCCGCCAGTTGAACAAACAAAAACGGGATTGCGGTCACCCTGATGGTGTTCGTCCTCACCATCCTCGTAAACTGTCGACATTCTTGACCATCCTCGAAACCCCCGGCCGTTTTTAGCATTCAAACTGCACGCGTCGTACCCCTTCCCCGCACTCCTGCCCCTGCGCAAAGCCCAAATCCCAATCAACACCTAAGCCTGCAGCCCAATCCGGGGGACAACAACCACAACAAATGTAGCCACCCCACAGGGACCACAGGCAGGGGCGTGGCGGGGGACGGCATGGGTGGGAGGGAGGAGGGGCCTAGCAACCATACATCCATACACATCTAAGGCCAGAAAGCGCAGAAAGCACGCTCCAGCCACAGGGTCGGCCGAGCGCGGAGCTCAGTGGAAAGCAATGTTCCCGGAGCGAAGCCACAAAAGTGCGCTTAGATACAGCGGTCGACAGTAATGAGTGATGCTGTGGGGGAGCCACAGGGGCTAGGATGCAGCATTTGTCGGAGTACCAAGGTTTGGAGGTCATCGTCCTTTTCGGCATCTCGCAGCAAGTGGTAGTCCACAGCGACCTTAAGGGCTTGCGAAAGGGATGCATGACATGAAGCGAGCAAGAACACTCCGGATAGTCCGGATAGCTGATGGCCCTCGCAACATCGCAGACATGGCGAACTGGATTCAGAAAGTAGATGCTGCGTGTCTCAATGACATCGGTCGGCATCGGTCGACGCGAAAAATCTACGCCTCCTGAACATTGCGGCCTGTGCCAGGACAGATCGACACTGAGTGGCACATTCACGGCGGGGTTCGACTCGAAATTTGATCCTGCCGGGCCCTGAGAAATTCAATGATACTGAAACGAAACGAAACATTGTAGGAGGAGGTATTCCAGCCTTGCATGCACGCCTGCATCTCGAGGGAGCATGGCGGCCCATTCCCCTCGCAAGCCGGCAAACAAAACGCAGGGCAGACAGGAGGGCATTCCTCTAATTTTAAGGTTTTGTTGACAAGGAACAGAAGGAGGTCCACTTACACAGTACAGCTCTAGATAAGGGAGCTCGAAACAAGGCATATGGCGTTTGACACGTCTTCTCCAAATAAGAGAGTTCAAAGGGGAAAAAGCAGAGAGTCCCTGTGCTTCTTTCTGTGAAAGAAGGATGATCTGCTACTCTAATCATTCTTGCCCTGTTGTCGCTTCGCAAGGTATGCGTAGACTCTCCATTACCTGGCATGGGAATATGATTACAGAACTGCTCTATCTCTTGGCAAGACATCATGTCCGGACTGAGGCGAGCGCCCTTCACTGGGAGCCTCAGAGCACATGGGAACCCTAAAGCAAAGTTCCGAAAGTCGAAACCTGCGTGAAATGCAAACGATGCGGGCCTCTACCTGCAACCATGTGCTCTTCCATCGGAGACCAAGCGGACCGGCTTTGACTGTGGACATACATTGTATCTGCCCTTCCGTGTCTGCCCTTTCGCCTCCACGTGTTCATGCTGCCTGCTGCAATTGTCAAGATGATTAAGTTGCGATAGGCTGCTGGGTTGGGCGAGATTGTCTGCAGCTCCTGCATGGAGTTGGAATGCTTGGAGTGTGCTACCCTGACAGATGCTGGCATTTACATGACTGGCAACAAGTATGTGCCTTACATGAGGGTTGGAGCAGTATGGCTAATCTGCGCATTTTGAGAATGAACCATCCAGGGGGAGGAGGGCTTGCGTGATGGTGTTGATTGTTTGGGGGTTGGGCTGCCGCAACTGAGGCAATGAATATGGGTGTGCAGTCGTTGTTGGGCATGTGATAATGCTTCACATGACGGTTGAGGGGTCGACTCAGGCACCTCCTTGAGTTCTCGCTTCAGACCCTGCTTGGATTGTCCGAGTGCCCAAAAGCCAATCCGTGTCCGGTGAGACAGGCCAGCCCCTGGTCACAGCGAGCCATGCTGCGCGTTTGCAACGAACTGTGGGATGCCAAGCGTGTGCTTTGGGTGCTTTTATAAGTTTTTGGTGCGGGGAGCTGGGGCTTGAGGCTCAAGAAAAGACTGCGACATCCCCTCCGTGATGGGTTTGGTAATCTACTATAGTTTGTTTTACCATACTGTATATGCCATAATATCTATAGTCTCCTATACTATATAATCCACTGCAAATATGGCTTGGCTTGGCTTGCAGGCCATCGGAGCTGAACATTCTCAGCTCCAACTGCTGGATTCAAGACTTCCGCAACTTGGCACAGGTCTGGTTATTAGATGAAGTCTCATACTTTCAGGCGACCGGCCCGGCGCATCAAATATGTTTCGACAAGCAATGAACGCACAGCCGCTGCATGAAATGAGACGCCTCCCACTGCACAGCATTCGCTGTCCAGCTGCATCGGTGAGCATCAGTGAGTCATGCTCCGAGAGCAAATTTGCGCGTGCCCAGGTAACTGGCTCATAGGTCGCGGACAGAAGTTTCCCGTCGATCGTGGCGTGCTCAGATCATCTCAGATTCTGCGTCCTGTGGATTGAATCACAGGCTTGAGGCTCGAAAATGATCTTCCTCCCTCTTCTTCCTCTTGACCAGGCCTTGTGTTTGGCACCTGGTGTGAACTGTTCACTAGGTGCCAGTACACTGAGGTTTTTTGGACTTCCACCTAACTCTCAAGGAGTTCTTGGTGGGTCACCCTTCTGCTGCATCAGCCATGGCCACAGCTGTGTAGGTGCTTCAATCTGGATTGGCTAGAGTTCAGCTGAAGGGAGACATGCCACAAGGGTATGCAGAAGCATCACGATGTACATGGCCTTCAACATGGCAGCGTACGGGAATCAGCCAAGAAGTGTCCCGGGCCGGAGGCAATGTGGCTGAACGAGGCGAACAACCTCACCGCGACGACGTTCACCTTTCAGGCCTCATTATTGGCGGACCGCGGGCTACAGCACTCTGCCCATACCCGCATGCACCTCCCAGGTCATCCCGACAGACGGAGCCGACGCCACCCTAGCGATGAGAGACCTGTGGCTCAACTACGCCGTGCACTTGGAACCCACAGAACATGCATGCGAATATGTCTGCAAGATAGGGACTGTTTGTCTAGGGGAGTGTCAGGTGGGGGATGTTAGCAAAGGAGCATTTCCCTATTTGTGTCTCCGTCTTGGGAAGGGCGGGGGGGTCTCAGATAGGGGGGGGAAGGAACTTTGGGTCTTTGCCATCGGCGGTTTCGTTAACCGCCGCCATCAAAAGCGATGATGGAAGATGATACCCTAAACCCTAAACCTGCATGAGCGAGTGTGTGTGAGTCGAAACCCTAAACCCTCAAGGGAGGCGACAGAAAGGCTGGTAGCTTGGTTCTTCGTTTTTGCTCCATGTTGCGAGGCACTGCTTGCTGGTTCTGGCTTTTTCGGTTTCTTGGTGTGTGTTGCGGGTCGAGCTGGGTAATACGGGCAGCAGTCGAGTCCCTTGTGAAGAAAAAGGTTCAGGGTTTCTGGGTTGCGGGCTTCTGGGCTTGGGGGTGTAGGGGTTCTGGGTTTACGAGGTTTAGGGTTTCTAGGGTTGCGGGCTTCTGGTTGAGTCGCTGCAAACCAGATGCAAAAAAAGGGTTTCTGGGTTACAATAGGCCTGGATGCAAAAGGGTTTCTGGGTTGCGAGCTTCTGAGTTTAGGGGTGTAGCGTTTCTGGGTTGCGGGCTTCTGGGCTTGGCTCCTGGGTTTAGGGCTTTAGGGATTTTTAGGGGTTCTGGGTTTAGTACTTAAGGTTTAAGGGTTTCTGGTTTAGGGGCTCTCTGACTTTCTTTTAGGGGCAGGGCCTGGAGGTTCAGCTTGCCTACTTACTGGTAGTTTTTTTATACTTCATGTCCTGGTCCTATTTGTTCTCCCCCTACCCCCGACAAATAGGAACAACGACATAGGAATCAGGAAGTTCTGAGGGTGACCCCCTCCCGCCGCTCAATTGTCCAACAGAAAATTCGGCGGAATCCGCAAGATCCGTAAGTTTCCTCGTCGTACCTTCCAAGATCGACGGCCTGAACAGCGAAGCAACATCCACTGCAGCGGGCGCTTGGGTGCAGACCTCGGTGTGCGAATTCCCGCGGTTGGCCCTTGGACCCGGGAAGTTGTATTGCTGGGGAATTGCAAAACGTTGTGCCGTTTCATGGTTCCAAAGCAACTTGCTTGATGGAGTTCTGCCTCGAAGAAGGCTTTAACGCAGTTCGAAGGAGAATGACGGCAATGTTTTCTACTTATTTCGAGGTGGTGGCAATTAGTAGTAATTAGTAGTACTCGTTGTCGCAGCCGAAGCAGCAGCGCCACAGTGAGAAATTTGGAGTAGAGTGACGAATCGCCAACCACAGCAAGTTGAGCTTGAAGCCATGGGCAGCAGCCTTTGTGCTACAGACGCCGGTGCAGCCAATGCCGAACCCGTCCACGAGCTCTTGTTCCCGATGTATGTAGTGAAGGCAGGGAACACTTGAGGGTGGAGAGTCCGGGTTTCATGCAACCGCTGCGGTGCATCGCCGTAGATAGCGAGGACCCAACAAACGACACGCCCAGTGGAGTGCTAGGAGCTGCAAGTGTTCCATGTGTTCCATGGTGCAGTCTCCAGGTGTCTGACTTCTGTCAGATGGACGGACCTCCGGAGCCGCATCACCTTCTGAAGTCTCAGGGTTTGCTACACGAGTGGCGGCCAGGCAGCTGGCGTTGATTTGGTATCCTCTGTGTTGTCTCTGTGTGTGTGTGTGTGAGTGGGTGTGTCTGTGCAGGACCTGTAGGCCCCACATCCTTATGTCAGTGGCTTCACACACCTTTTAAGCTTTCCATTTTTTGGTGGCACCCCGTCGTTCAATCAGATAATTTATCAAACAACATGTTTAGGGGACTTCGGTTGCACCCTGGCGTTCGATAAACGAGTTGTCAAACAGGCATGTTCGTGATATTTTTCTCGCATCAGTGGCTGAGCTCCGCACATCCAGACCCTCATGGACAGCAAACTGCAGTGCTTCGCAGCACCCTTGCAGGTGTGATGTCTGGGTCGCTATACGTTGAACCAGATGCCGTGTCAATACCATCTGGGAAGGCTTTGTCCCCGACCATGCGCCAACAGATTGGGGATGGATACCTATTCTTGGATTGGTACGCCAACCCCAGATCACGGCTCGAGAGGAGGGAATCAACGAAGACGTGACGAGGACGGATGCAGCGCTTGCAGTGCAGAGCATCCCTGCATACGTGGAGTTGGCGAACGTGTTCATCGCTCTGGTTCCGGCACTGTTGCATACAGAAACAGAGATGAGGTGCAACTACGTCTCGTGGCAGTCCAGAGGGTGGTGCCACGCACTCGGTTGGATTTCCGTGCATGTCAGTGCGCTCACGTGAGTAGAACTTGCTGCTGTGCAAAAAAGCCCCGAGACAAAGGCCGGACGACACCGGAACCACGGTTTCCCAAGCCAGCTAGGCATGGCACGGCATGGCATGGCATAGATGCAGGCCAACCCTCCACTATCCTCCACTCCTGCCATCCGGTACTTTCCTGATGTTCAACGGAGAGGCAGGAGAGACATTGACGCCCAACAAGATGGGAGTTTCAAACAACACAGAATATAGTATGTGAAAGGCTTGTTCACAACACACGCGAAGAGCTGTAGACTCATCTCTGCCAGCGGACCATCGCCGATAAAGATCAATCGACAATTGATGCAGCAGATGTTGCCGTGCTCTGACTATGCGATCCGTGCGCATGTATAGCAATGACTTGCGGGGCGCTGTCATTAAGATCGCCCCAGCGGCGCCTGCAACCCCCATCATTTCTGCGCTTCCTTGCTGGACCCGCGTCTTCAACATTCCTGCGGCGGAAGGGAATCGACAATTGCTTGGCGGGTGGCTTGCGCAGGGCGGCATGGGGCATCAATTACATGGCATGAACAAAAAGACCAAGTGAGCAGTTGTCAAAGCAGTTTCGCTCCTGACACAGGTGCGGCTGGTACTAGTCGATAACTGCTCGCAGGGGCAGGGGGTTTTCCGTTCGGCGCTTTGCAAGCGACAAAAACAGTTCGCAGAAGTCTGGGTCCCTGCATATCCCTGCCGAGTGGTGAGAGTCGAACTCAGGTCGCGCCGAATGGTGGTGCCACCTTTTGTCCAACAAGCCGGACACCAGCGTCATCGTCGTTTACTCTTGCAGGGAAGCCGAGTTCATGTTCCCCCTGAGCTGGCAGGAGAACAAAGTTTCCGAGGGTGAGTTTACCGTGGAAGCAGACCGGAGAGTTGTAGCAAAGCTCGGTGAGCGAGCGTTGGAAAGCAAGATCAGCTTTCTCTCGACGGCTGGGCCACTGAGTAGGTATCGTTACTACTTGGCGCAAAGGCCGCAACTACTTTGCCAACGAAGCGAAGATTTCAGCCTAACGGAGTTCCTCAGCCACTTTCGCTTCCCGGATCGCCTTGAAGAGGCGATCCAGGACACCAGCAGTATGAGCCCGGTGTTATGTGCGGTTTTCGCCGGCGACGCCAAGATCTTGCGTGCCCTTCTTGAAAACAGGGCGGATGCGAATCAAAAGCTGTATGGCTTGTCAGACCTCGGCTTCTACGATGGTCAGACCGTGCTAATGGCAGCAACGAAGTCGCGCCAGACCCCGAAGGTTCTGTCCACGCTCATCGATCTGCGTGCGGATGTGAATGCGGCCACCAGAATAGGTCTCACCGCCGTAGCCTTAGTGCGAGATCCTGGACAGCTGCGAGTTCTCATGGAAGCGCGGGCAGACATCCATACGCCGGGGCGGCCTTTCGGGCTGTCACCAATAGCAGGTGCTGCTGTGTGGGCCTGTCCCGAGACCATCGCTGCCATGCTTGCGGCAAGATGTGATCCCAATTTCACGCCGCAGGGCGTTGGCTATGGCCCATTGCATGCTGTATGCCTGCAGGCACGCAACAGTAGAAGGGCTACCGAGATAGCAAGGATTCTGCTTGCCAGCCGGGCAGATGTTAACTCCACGGCAGCTCCGGTTGGAGTTTTCAAGCTTGTTTGTTGGCTGTCGCAGGCCCGCGTGGCCATGAGAGGTTTCGGGCACTGTTCCATTGTTGTGAGAACTGCTGCTGCTCTGCCCGGCCTGACGCCACTTGGCGCTGCTGCCCTCATTGGTGACGAAGGTTTAGCCCGTCTTCTCTGGGAGAACGATGCCGAAGTGCTTGCAAACCAGCGAGGCGACTTACCTGAGGACCTGGCGATTGCAAATGGACATGATCACTTGCTCCCTCTCCTCGCATCCTTTGGCGTGTGAGAATTCCGGAAAAGCACGCGCTGCAGTCGACTTTTTTTTGGCCAAAGGTCACAACTTAGACATCCGCGAACTATGCCGGGCTAGGCAGCTAGGCCTTCCATTCCCCAGAATCTAGGGAGCTGTTTGATGCAACCGGTGGTTGCGGCTGCCAGACATGCTTGCCCATGTTTGCCAAGAATAGCATGCAGTCGTGAGTCCGTAGCTGTTTGGCTACTGTACGCAGACTGCCCAGAGTAGCACATGCACTTATAGACTCAGACTGGCATGGGAAGCGCTGTGAGTGGGCTTTGCTCTGAAGCGGAGACAAACTCCGTAAACTTGGCACCGGTGCACGAGTGCCTGTTCCCGCTCCATGTTATGAAGGCCACGCGGAAGGTTGTGTAAGGATTGCCGCACATGAAGCGAGCTGCTGTCATTTGCCGGTTGGGGCTGAATCTGATTTTTGGTCTACAGTCTATGGGTTGTTTTGCATGTCCACACAGTGCAGGTGTCCGACTTCCTTGAGATGGAAGGAGTTCCAGAAGCACACGCCATGCTGAAACAACGGAGCTTGCTGCATGAGTGGCATAGCGGCATGTTTGTCCTGTTTATTTCCCATCAATGGCTCAGCTCTTCTCATCCGGATCCCCAGGGTCGGCAGGTTGCAGTTCTGCGCGATGCTCTGCAAGGTATGATAAATGGCTCCGTGGATGTTACTGTAGATTTTATTTCCAGGACACACGACGCGCGGAGCATGTCGCAACGTACCAGACAACAGATTGCGAAGGGCTACCTGTTTTTCGATTGGTTTGCGATTCCGCAGATCACTGCTCGTACGGAGGGTATCAATGAAGAGTCTACAAGATCTGATGCTGCATCAGCTGTCAAGAGCATCCCTGCATATGTGGAAGTTTCAAACATGTTTATCGCCCTTGTTCCAGAGCAGCTGCACAAAGAAACGGGCTTGCTTTGCAATTACGCGTCATGGCTTTACAGCTGTGAGGG